CGCTCGTGCTGACGCGGCGAGTATAAACCAGGCTCTACACTCGAAGCGCTGCGCTGTTCAAACAAGTAGCGCGGTTTCATTATGCTTTCAGTTTTGTTTGCCGTTTGATGTTTCTCAAATGCAACAGAAATGACAGCGCTTATGAGTTGAACAACGCGGTGGTCGCGCCAGTGCGACCGCTCACAAAATTTAGTCGCACAGGCAGAAAAAATGGTCACAAAATGCGACCATTTGGTCGCAGTCTGGAGCCCTGAACTATATAAGTTGGTCAGAATGACAGGGTGAGTATAGGCTGAACTAGAGCCCGACCGATATGGGTTTTTTGGGGCCGATACCAAATTAGGGAGTAAAATATATCGATATATCGGCCGATATTCTTTGTGTATATTATAGTAAAGTACCAGTCAAAAGTTGATTGGTTTAGCTTCTCAACCGATTTGAATCGTCACATATTTGAATCGATTTCCAACCGGCTCGCGGTTAATCGTTACATCCCCAGTCTTCACACACAGACGAAACTTACTAGAGAAGTGTGAAATAATATACCTCTGTAAATAAATTTAAATTCACATCTCGCGCACTTTAATGCCCTTTGAATGTAACGTCTTGTGTATCATGTGAAGTCCACTTCGCAGGGCACTTACGGTCGAATAAGCCAACGCTTGAATGCTGTTGCCTGAACAAGAGACCTCCTTACTGAAGTGAAAGTGTTGGCTGGTGTCACTATCTCGCAAATGCGCCGGCGGATCTCCACCAAATCCGGGGGATCCCTTCAGCTCGAGGAGCTCTCTCGAACGCCACCCTCCACGCGTCGGTAGCCCCCCCGGATCACTAGATCGGTCGGCACCGGACCGCGAATTTAACCACCCGTAACTCCCGAACCCCGGCGGCTATCGGAAAATGTTTTTCATATCGGCGGCATATTCACCGATACCGATATATCGGCGACAGGCTCATATCGGCCGATAATATCGGCTAAACGATATATCGGTCGGGCTCTAGGCTGAACCATCCCCTTAACCCTAAAAAGCCTAGGCAACATAATTGGTACATTTCTTAAGGCTACTAAATGATCAACATGAACAAAACTTTGCTAAAAAAAAAAAAACTGTTTTACACAATCTGCCACATGCCTTGAGAAGTAAAAGACCTTTTAGTATAATTCTAAAACTGTCCACCTTTAGGTTGTAGTAAACTGTCAAATGTTTAATTATTTTATAAAGTAAATGTAAGAATAACTTTTATATTGTTAGTAACATTTCAAGATAAACATTTACTTGACTGAAGCAACTTTACTTGATTATCCATACAGCATAAAAAAAGGGTGATAAAACAAGCATCAAACATGATACAAGCCTTTGAGCAAGATTTTTGTACATCACTTAATCATCATTGTATTTTTCTATTGCAGTGTATGTCCTCATAATGAAAACTACAGACCTTTGATCATAAAACTAAACCTTAAAATATTATCTTAAAGGTGCAGTAGGAGATCTTGGAAAATGCTAACTTTAGCCTGATAGCACTGAAAGCGAACGTCCAACCCTCCCTGCAATCGCTGTCCAAAGCCACGCCCCCTGAGCGCATGAACGCACACACAGACCAGACGACCAGAGACAACATTACTACAATACATTATGTGTTAGTAACCGGTGAGAAAACTTTATAGTACAGTTAGTAAAAGGACTGCAATACCAGGAAGTAAGGTCAGTTGTTGATGTTTGCCTGCCATTCTCGCTCTGTCTGTCTGCATGACGTATCCTGTCTGCGCGAACAGGATGCGCAGAGGTATGCAAATACATATGTTGACAGGCAGGTAGGAAAGCCCGAGCGTTTGGATTAGATGAACATTTCTTGGTTCTACGCCTTCCACATAATATATAAATACATATAAATACATTTAGACCACTTAACTTAATGATTGCTATCGGGATGTGAAGAGACTTTCAACCAGCATAACAAAAAATGTTTCTGAAGACAATCACCTATTGCGCCTTTAAGACATATTAGGAGATATAGAGCAAAATATTGAGTGACCGTTTATAAAGACCTCACTAATTTACATTTACATTTAGCAGACGTTTTTATCCAACGCGACTTACAAATAGGACAATGGAAGCAATCAAAATCAACAAAAGAGCAAAGATATGCAAGTGCTATAACAAGTCTCAGACATTATTATTATCTCATCTTACATTACAAGCTATCAGAATTTCATCTTTTTGTAATTAACAACAGACAACAACTAACATAAATAACAACATGTGCACAAAAGTGCATATTTTTGCACAGTTTGGGCTTCTGAATAAACTTGTTTTTCTTCCTCAAATGTGAGCTCCATATAGGCCTATATAATACAATTATCTGAGCTATGATGTATCAAACACGATACAAAACATAAAACATACGAGCAAACTTTTTTTTTTAGATTTTGTCGAAAGGTTCAATAATATGTTCCATTTCAAAACAATAGATTTTTCTGACTATTATTTCACACGTCAGGCTTTATAGGGTTAAGGTCGCTAATGCACCAGACGGCCGCAGACTCTCGGCTGCCGCAGTGAGAACATGGCGCACTAATGGACAGGAACAGAGACTTCATACCTGCACCTGAAAAACTGCTAACGTTATTTATCAGAACAAAAGCTTGTTTATTTGGTATATCCCCGGTAAATCAAGTGTAAATGCAAAGTTAAAAGACATATAAAGCTAGTCCTGTGTGTGACGGCGCATAAGAATGTCTTGTGTTGTGTTTAGCGATCTCACCACTGGCAACGACCTGCAATCTGAGACATGAACCGTGTTTCACGTGTACAACTCCCTTCCGCTCTACTTCATTCATCTACACACGACATGTGTGTCATAAGCATAATTGCACCACTGTTATCACTTTATTTATTAAACGGAACATAAGCAAATTCAAAGGATGGGATGCCGACCTCAAACTAGCCACAAATACAAGTGACACATAAGTACATAAAAATGCATTTGAATGCAACACCAGTTTTATATACAATAAAACAGCAAAAATAAAACTAAACACCAACATTTTAGATTGTATTAACGACATTAACTTCCTGATGGGTTCCCTTGTCAGTTTCAGTTCTTCTTGACAACACAAACCAAGCGCAGGTTCATTCCAGCACTGTCTCCTACTAGCCGAGCCAGCTAAACATCCATAAAAAACACAATCTGTTACCAAAGAGAAACTATTAAAGTCAAGCAGTGACAGTTCTGACCAGTACCTGTGTCAAGATGCCTCCTGATCGCGGAGAAACCACGACGAGCCGTCGCCAAATCCGTTTAAGAGCTACAACTCAACGCTATTTTTACACGACAAAGATAGAAAGCCGCAATTGACGGGATCAACACAGACAACAGGGTCTCATTACAAAACCAAAGTTTCTGCATTATTCTTGAACATATGTAAATATCACGATAAACACAATCGTTTCATTCGCACGTAGTTATCTCTGGGAAAAAAACCCCACTGGCTGTTCATTAACCTTTAGCATTAGCATAGCCGCTAGCCGTCCGGTATTTAGCCGCTGGGAGAAACGGAAACGCAACGCACGCCGCTCCCGCGTGTTTATCTGACTGACGTCTAATTAATCCTGCGCGCAATAGCTGCCAAAAGCTTGCTGATATCGTAAAAAACCCAAGCAGCAATTTATACGAACACTCACTCGCTGTCAGTTTCGATGCAGTGCAAACAACGGTTGGCTGCTCGCCGTGCTGATAACAGTATATGTACGACAACATACCGTGCGCCGAAGTCTCACGGCCATTGACCATCCAAGCGAGGCTTTTCACAGGGGGTGTGTCACCGGACTGCTGAGGTGATCTGAAATGACAACGATTCACCGGGGTTCTTCAGGGATCACAGCGGTTAGCACAGTCGCAACAAAATTGTCGTCTTCACTTACGCCTATTTCGAGAGGGGGTTCAATCTTCAACTGGCTGGCAGGAGCCGCCACTGACAGGTCATGTGACCTGCCAGTGGCTGGGGGCAGCTGCCAGTCTGATTCTGGCAGCTCACGTGACCTG